AAAAAAAAAAAGTGTTGCAGAGCATGTGGAGAAATTGGAAGCCTCATATATTGCTGGTGGGAATGTAAAACAGTGCAGCCACTGTGAAAAACAGTTTTGTGGTTCCTCAAAAAGCTAAACATAGAATTATCATATGATCCAGCAATTCTACTCCCAGATCCACACTCATGGGAATTGAAAGCACGGACTGGAACAGATACTTGTACGCCAGTGTTCACTGAAGCCAAAAAGTGAAAACAATCCATGTGTCCATCAACAGACGAATGGAAAAACAAAGTGTGGTATATAGATACAATGGAATATTATTCAGCCATAAAAAGGAAGGAAATTCTGACACCTGCTACATGACCCCTGAAGACATTTTGCTAAGCGAAATAAGCCAGTCACAAAAAGACAAATACCATGACACTCCACTTACATGAAGTATGTAGAGTCGTCAAATTCATAGAAAGTATTTAAGGCCATTCTGTATATATATTTTAAATTATGTAAGCGAACCAGGGGGAAAATGTGAAATTTTGAGGGCTGCCTAATTTGCTTTGGGTTAGGGAATATTTTTCAACCTCTTGCTTTATACTCTGAAATGTGGTGTGTTACGAACTTGTTAATGTTATTTAATCAAGCAGATTACCAATCAGTTAATTGCTCATTACTGACAAAAAGGGAAAATACAAAACAGAGGGAGGGAAAATAAACTGACTTTTATAGGGGAAAAAAAATTCATAGAAAGCAGAATGGTGGTTTCCAGGGGCTGGGAAATGGGGGAATGGGGAGTTATTGCTTAATGCTTACAGATGTTCTATTGGGGTAGTAAGTGTTTTGGAAATACATAGTGGTGATAGTTGCACAATATTGTGAGTGGAATTAATACCACTGAGTTGTACAGTTAAAAATAGTTAAAATGGTAAATTTTATGTTATGTATGTTTTAACACACACACAAATCCAAGGAACTAATGTTCTATGGAGCCCACATTGGAAACACTGGCCTTATCCATGCTCACTGCATAGACAGCTTGATCAGCCTATGGAGACTACTCTCCATCCTCCTGGTCGACTATGCTCTCTCCCGCCCTAGGGCCTTTGCACAAGCTGTTCTCTCTGCAAGGAGTGGCATCCTCTCCTGCTCCATGACCCATGTGGCTAAATTTTGCTCATCCTTCAGGTCCAATTTAACATTACTTCCTTCAGGGAACCTTCTTGGATATCCTCTCATATCTACATAACAGTATCTGCAATACTTCCACCATGATAGTATGTATCAGGCCATGTTTATTTGCCATTTACTTGTGTTTATCTGCCACTAGACTGTTACCTTGATGGGGAAAGGACTGTGTCCTGTGAATTGCTGTGTCTGGCACCTAGCACAGTGTCTGGGACACAGCAGCTGCTCCATTACCACTTAAAGAAGGGAGGAAATAAGGGAGGGAGAGGTGGAGATAGACTTCCTAAAGATCAGACCTCCACCATGATTAATGTAATTTGTGTCTCACTTGAGCTTCGGAGCAGTGTCTGGTCCTCCTCGACAGCGTTCACTGAAACCCTCCTTCTGTTCTAGATTTCTGTGGGCATATTCCACCTGTGAGGGCCCCAATGGTCTCTGCATTCTCCACAGTACTTTGATCATAGTAGATGCTTAATCAATACTTAAATAAACAAGCATACACATTTAAAAACAATATGTTGTACACAGACTATTCTGACCTTCTGTTATCCTTCATATTTAAAGAACAAGAAAGAACCCCAAAGTCTCCCAAAATGCACTTGGGCCATCTTTTAGTTATTAATACTATTTGTTGCTCTTTATGCACCTTTGACATCAGATGACCAATTTGGAAATTGTCTTGGAATGTAAAACTATCAAAATGTAACTAGTTTTGTTATTTTAAGAAATGCTTGCTTCCCTTCTATCACAGTTTGAACTGTAGATCTTTGACTTCTCAAGCAGGAGATACAGGAATTGGTGGTGGTGATGGGGGCGGGGTGTGGGGTGGTGGCAGAGAAAGCGCCAGAGCCTCACTCTCCAGTGGATACATTTCCCCAAAACGAGGAGACTGGGAGAGCGTGTGGGAGGTGAGCCAGCCCTGGCCCCTTTCCCACCCACTCCTTTTATCCCAGGGCTCTGTTAAACCTCCAGCCAGAAGCTGGGGGCCTAGGCCTCTTCACTCCAGGGACACAAATTCTCCTTTCTGGGAGCCCCTGCTTGTTGGTCTCAGCAACCAACCGTTGACCTAATAAGCCCATTTCTTCAGCCATATATTGTATGTATGAATGAATCACTTTGTCCACAGAATGAAAAGTCCCAGGTGCACTATGAAATGGTGGCATTTTTCAGGTTCATTTGCTGCTATGTCATCGTCAGAAGGTTGAATATTTTGTTTGTCCTTGTGGAGGTAAGAATTGAACTTGGAGGCTGCCAGAGCTGCGTATTTACCTCGTCCCCTCCTTTCGCGCACAGATCCAATCTCTGGTTCTCCCCACATGTCTAAGGATGGGAGGAAATAGGGATTTTTCTTCCTATGGAAAAGGAAATCAGGACCCCACAAAGGAAAGAGACTTCCTGTGTGTTAGAAGTAAGGCCCGTCTGAACTGGAATCAGCAACGCTAACCCCAGGCCAGAACTCTAGTAGTGAGAGATGTGCCAAAGTGCCCTTTCTGGGAAGCTTAGAGAAATGTTTGATGCTCAGAGACAAGCACGTAGAAATGCCACGAATAACAGCCTTAAATCACACTAGAGTGAAGAAATCAGAAAAGCCCACCTAAACACTAATTCCCTTAAATTCTCCAGGCCATAGTTCCCATCCCTGAGGCGTGCCCATTCTCTCTGTCTCTCTGTCTCTTTCTGGTTTGTCCTTCTGGAAAGTCCCTGTCTCACACCAACGGGTAGGAGCTTACTTACCAAGAGCAGTGTGGTTGCCTTTGGGTGGTGGCTTCGGAGAGGTGAGAAATCTTGGCAGGTTTCTGGGCTGGAGAGGGTGGGGAGCAAGCTCCTTGCAGGATGCCCCACGGTTTGGGCCCTTAAGGTAATCAGGGTCTGCTGGTGTTGAGAGTGTGAAAGTGTTGGGGGAGGTTCCCGGAGTGCAGGAAAGGAGGCAGCAGTTGGTCGTTGGGGAGGCAGTTGGGGAAAGTTCCAGAATAGTTCCAGGGAGGAGCTAATATGTAGGGTGGGAGAAAAGAGCAGAAGAAGAATGAGTGGGCTTTCTGGCATTCCTCCTTCCAAGGATTCCAAAGAAAAGAGCAGAAACCACAGAGACAAATCTTTTCCTGTCTCTCCTACCTTTCAGCATACACTGTGAGGCAGGCAGAATAGGCACCAGAGATGCCCACAGACAAAGCTGCAGAGGGGCAGGGAGAGAAACCATTGAGACCAGGGTCCCAGAGAGAGACGAACAGCATTTGACCACATAGAGCAAGAGGCACACAGATACCGACAGGAGAGAGGCGGGAGTGGGAACCTGACTCAGGGTGGAGCAAGAGCCCCTTCCTCAGCGAATGTGGCCCCGAGCCTCACATGGATGCAGAAGAACAACGCTGGTTCAAGCCCAGGGTCTGCCAGGTCTACCTAGACTCAGTTGTCCCCAAACGGGCAGACCCAGGGCAAGTCCCTGGCTTTCAGGACCTGAGTTTCCTGCTGTGTTTTAAATGACCACATCTGGGACCACACCCTTGGTTTCCTTCTGGAAGATTCCTCCCAGGAATTTCAAGGAGTCAGTGGAAATTCATACACGCCACATGAGTAAGTCGGAATCTCTAAGGGTAAGGCCTAGACATCAGTATTTTTTAAGTGCTTCTCATGGGATTCTAATGAGCAGCCAGGCCTGAGAATAACTGTATTAAACATCGATTGGTGGCAGGCACTTGCCAGATGTCGAAGGCACGAAGATGGACGAGATGCAGACCCTGCCCTTGGTGAGCTCGCAGCTGAGCAAGGAAGACAACATCAATACACACAGCAACAAAAGCATTGTGAATGGTGGCTGAGGTCAGCCAGAGAAGCATCCCTGGGGTAAAGAGGAGGATGTATTAATCATGTGTTTCATTTTATGCATTTTATGATGGTTTGACATCTTGGGAGCCTTGCTGGCTGGGGAGAGACTGCCCCTCCCAGGGCTGGCTAATTCCCAGAGATAGTGAGCAACTCGCCTTCAAACACATCTTTCATATACAAGCCAACCAATCTCAAGTTTATACCCCCAACCACCTCCTTTATCTAAGTCTCACCCAAAAGCCAATATTTCCCCTGCTCTAAATCTCCCCAGGGCTAGGTACCAGACAATTAGAGAGCATCCCTATAGCCCAGAGCTGCCGACATTATTCCAACTACCCAATCCTAAACTTGTTCAGCTGTTAACCTGCCTTACTCCTTCCTTCCCGTGGAAAACACAGTCAAGGCCCTGGGCCATGCATTCCCCTCATTCTTTCTGCCTCCTGATCAAGGGGCATGGTCTGCCCCTTCCTCTTGGAGATTATAAGTAGTAAATTCTTCTTGCAATGACGTTGACCTGCCTGTGTCATCACTTGGTCACCTCGATAAATTAAAATCTCACGGGTACAATCGAGACAGAGGTTATGATTATCTTACAGGAGTGAGGATCAGGGAAGGCTCTGAGAGAGGAACAGGAGAAGTGTATCCCATGTGCAAAGGCACTGAGGCATATAAGGGCCCCGGGGGTCGGTGAACTAGAGCAGAATGGAATTGCTGGAGCACTGAGCACAGGTGACCAAGTGGGATGGGGGTGGGGACAGCATGCCTGTCTTAGGCTGGATCAGAGAATCTCAGGGGCAGCATGGGATATCCCCTTTGTCTTTGTCACTCAGCCTTACATCTCTAAGAGCTGGACAGAAGGTAAGAGAATATTCTACAGGTGGGGAAACCAAGGCATGTTGGGAGGTTGATTCTTCCTTAAGTGAGAGATGACTAATGCACTTATCGTCTCTCCAACAAGCCCTACCAACTAGTCTCGGTTTGGGCTTCTGTGAGATTAATAAGGTCATGGTGGAGACCCTTCATGCTAGCACCAACATTCCTGGCCTGAGGAGCCTATGGGAAGAAAGAATGGACTGCAGAGCCAGGCAGAGAGGGTTCCTCATTCAGAGGAAGAGCATGCGCTTTGGGTCTGAATTGTGGACCTACGACCTTGGTCAAGCTTCTTACTCTGTCTAGGCCCACTTCCTCATCTTTAGAGTGGGACTAATAATACATGTATCATGCGGCTGTCATGCAGATCAGGAGGGAAGGGGGAGTGCCCTGCTTGACTCGTAGTATTTTTGTTTCTAGTTTTTCTCCCTTCAACCAGGAAACATCCTAAATCTGATGAGAACAAAAAGAGACAAGTTCCATCAAAACTGCAAGATGGCAGCTCATGAGATGCCAGCGGGTGACAGTCCAGTAAGAGTGTCTCTTCTAGACAATCCACGTAAGGAAGTCCTTGGGCTGTAGGTCTACAGAAGGGCCATGAGATCCGCCCGGCTTTGCCAGTATCAGCCCCATATCTTGCTATACTAAATTGAGGCTTTGGAACTTTCTTGGATCCATGTCCCAGGAGATCCTCAAGAGGAAGCTGCAGGGCAAACAGATGGTGTAACAGGCAGCTGTTGTAACAGAGTTCGGATGCCTGTGCTAACTCCTGAGCCTCTCTGCAGAAAGGAAAGACTGGAAATGGACAGTCTTTTCCTCCTCTGCTGTCTGCCTCTGGGTGCCCTGCTCCACTTGGATGCCTTGGACCACCACGCCTATTCTGATGACAGTGATAGCTTCCATTGACTGAGCACTGACCATATGCTAAGAAGCGTGTGAGTGTGTAACCAGCACTATCTTGTTTAATCCTCCCCATAGCCCTATGACTGGGCACTATTATCCCCATTTTATGGTTGCAGCTTGGTGTCACACAGTTAGTAAATGGAAGAACCAGGTCCCAACCCAAATCTGCCTGAATCCAAAGCCTGTGTTCTTAGTACCCCAGGATATCCTGGGCCACTACATTTCCTAGCTTCAGTCCAAAGGCCTGTTGACACAAACATCCCTTTATTGCAACAAGCTCTGTCTCTGACTCACAGTTCACTCAAACTGCAATGGTCTCAGGATATTTTGGATCCTCCCTCTTTGACACTTTTTTCCATGTCTCATCCTGTTCATTAATTCATTCAGTTGACAGACATGACTAGGGTCCTCACCAGGCCACTTACTGCATACCCCTAAGGATGCATCAACCTGTGCCAATATATCAATGTGCAGTTAGAAAAAAAAGTGGTCTAAACTGCGTCTGGAGACACCTTTAGCTGGTCCCTTCGGGGAAAGGTGACTAGAGTCTCTGCCAATTCAATTTAGACATCCACTGGGTCCAACCATGGGCAAAGAAGTATTCTAAGTCCTGGGGATTTCCTCCAGGATAAATACAACACAATGTTTGCCTCCACAGTTTAATGAGAAAGACAAGTATTTACTGAACCCACAGTGAAACCAGGCAGCCTGTGATAAGGGATATCATAAAATAGACCAAATACCAGGGGCACTGGAAGGAAATGAGAAGAGAATTGAGGAAGAATTCACAACGGAGGGGGATTTGCAATGAGTCTCAGAGGCTTCTTACTCTGAACTCATCCTTTTTCTCTTTGGGGGGGACTATCACTCATGCATCCAATCCTTCCAGCCTGCCTGAGCCCCGAGCTCTGACATCCGGTTGTTTCCCTGCAAAGTCTCCTTAGATCAGCCACCCTGCACTCACACCTGCCCCTGGCCCAGCGCGCGGGGCTGGGGCCTCCAAAGCGCCTCTCCAACAAGCCCCTGCCCCATCAATGCATTCCGAGCAGTGTCTGGTTTGAGGGCTGAGTGCTATAGCGCTGCTGGTGGAGGAGTGAAGGCAGCCAAGTCATTAAGGCTGAAAACACTGACAGCAAGTGCTCATTGGGAGCGCCACAGGCCTGGCCCGCATTTCAAAGCGGACATCAGCCAAGGAAGAAAGAGCAGGTGGGGTGAGGCCAGGTTCTTGCTCTTCACCAGGAAAGTTGTTTGAGACCTCAGAGGAAAAATGAGTCCAGCCTTCCTGGGCCTTCTTACTTTCCTCTTCTCCTGGGTCTTGTCTAGGATGCCTACCTGGGGAGGGGGCTTTGTAAGGAAAGTACTAGCTAAGATCAAGTTGGATCCTTTTGGGAACTCAGGTGGATTGTCTTATTTTATATGTGGCATCTATGGGTGTAATTATTTCCCAAAGCTTCCCCAGGTGGTTGCAGGCAGAAGGGTTGGGGGAAGCCTCAACCTCCATGGCTCTGGAGGAGAGATGGATGGAGCCACCCAGTGTCAGGGTTCTGCCCAGCATAAGGCCAGGTCCCAGTGATGGGATGACTGGACCCCTGCTGGGCCACCTGGGGAACTGCAGGGACCCATCAGCAAAATGTTCAAACACAGGTCCCACGTGCCCTGCCAGGGCCATTGCAGAAGCAATTCCACTCTTGGGGCAAGGGTGGATTTGGAGTGCTGGTTTTCAACCTGTGCTCTTTGGAGATGCTTCAGGAACTTTTTTTGGGGGGTGGGGTGGGGAAGCTCCCACCATGAGTATTGCTCTGCTTTCTACATTGGGACTCTGCTTAGGAGATTACAAATATATTTTGGGGGGAGGGGGCTGGCGGAGATGGTGTGAATGATTCTGCCAGTAAATATTCAAGAACTCACTGGATTAACTGATATTATCTCAACTGAGCCTTTGCCATCTGCTCTTCTATATTCCCTATATGTGTTATCCCTTTTTATCCTCACAGATACTTCATGAGATATGGAGTGATATCCCCATTTTTCAGACAAGGAAACTGAGGCACAGAGAGTATGAGACCTTGCCCAAGACACACAGCTAGTAAATGGTAGGCTGGATTTGAAGCCAGCCATGCAGACTCTAGGCCTCTGCTCTTTCCCTCCACATGCTCCTGACCCATCCTCTCCAACTCTGAGGACTGGGATTTGGTGTTTCTGGATGTTTATCAGATGACCCTAGGCAGCATTGTGAATATGGCTGAGTTCGACTTCATTGCCTAACCTCCCTCTGCCAAGCCCTGTGTCCCATTTTCAAGATCCCCTCCAGGTCAGGGA